AGCAGGGCACTGTGGGACATGTCCCAGAGGCCAAGAACTTTGACTTTCCAAGTGCTGCATCTGTACCACTTAGGGGGAGAAGTAGATATGTTGGAGGGTAGGGTCAGGGTGACATAGACAAATTGGAGGATTGGGCCAGAAGAACTCTGATAAGGTTCAACAAGGACAACATGGAAGAATCCAAGCATTGTTATAGGCTGGGGACTGACTGGCTAAGTAGCAGTTCAGCAGAAAAGGACCTGAGGATTACAGTGGATGAGAAGATGGATATGAGTCAACAGTGTGCTCTAGTAGGTGAGAAGGCTAATGGCATACTAAGGTGCATTAGGAGGAGCATTTCCAGCATATCTAGAGAGGTTATTATTCCTCTTTATTTGGCACTTTTAAGTGAGGCCACATTTGGAGTATTGTGTCCAGTTGTGGGGTCCCCAGTATAGAAAGGATGTGGATGCATTGGAGAGGGTACAGTGGAGGGCAACCAAAATGATTAGGGGGCTGGAGCACATGATCTATGAGGGTGAGGGATTTGGACTTATTTAGTCTGCAGAAGAAAAGAGAGGGGAGAGGGAGCGATTTGATAGCAGCTTTCAACTTCTTGAAGGGAGGTTCCGAAGAGGATGGAGCAAGGCTGTTCTCAGTAGTGACAGATGGCAGAACAAGGAGCAATGGTCTCCATTTACAGTCGGGGAGGTCTAGGTTGGATATTAAGAAAAACAATTTCACTAGGAGGGTGGGGAAGCCCTGGGATGGGTTACCTAGAGAGGGGGTGGAATCACCATCCCTAGACGTTTTTAAGCCCTGGCTGGGATGATTTAGTTGGGATGTCCTGCTTTGGGCAGGGGGCTGGACTTAATGACCTCCTGAGAGCTCTTCAGTGGGATTCTATTATATCATGCAAGGTCTGAATCTACTGTTAATCCTTGTGAAAAACAGTACCGAAATCTACTTTAAGGGCCCATAAAGTCAAGACAGTGAACTTGGTGGTGTGGACTCATTGTTTAGAAAATCAACCTAATGCAGTTAAGTTCAATCTAAATTCACAGTGTTGATCTGATCTTAGTTCCAGCCTAGGAAGCTATGCAGGCGCTGTCCCCGACACTGCATGCTGTGGCTCTGACCCCCTGTCAAAGCTCACAGGGTAGCCTTTAGAAAGCAGCTTGTGACTGTCTTCCTCAGTCCCTGCACTAGGTGAACGGTGCCCTCCTTCCCACACAAGCGGCTCTTCTCAGATCTGGGGTTCTCTCGTTCATTCTCTCTCTCTCTCACCCCCTCTCTCACTCCATTTGTGCCACTCCAGTCCTTTTACCCAGTATAGTGGGGTAAGGATGTTCTGAAGTTAGAGAAACTGTTTGAGGTATATTGTAAATTTATTTTAGGGAAATTATGTGCAGTGATCCTGGTGATGGTAGCTGTCGTCTTGGTGAGCTCATCAAAGGCTGGGCACTACCTTCCTGTCGGTTAGATAGGCCTGATTCTGGCCCTAAGATGCAAACTGGCTGGAGACCCCCCCATACTGGATCTGTGGACTTCACTACTTGAGCAAAGAACAGCTGCCAGCGAGCATGGATACGTGCTGGCAAGCTGTGCTATCCTGATAGGCCTAACCCTTTGTCTTGGGTGGATGCAGAGTTACCCTTTCATAGCCCTACCCTTGTATCTTCCAACATTGGCAGAAGATAAGCTCACCTCCAAGATGTTAGGAGGCATGCCTTTGGGCATCTCCCGTCCTTTAGATATTTAAAAAGGGCAGGGGAGGAGTGCAGAAAAGGGAAAATGTTTCCAACCAACAAACCTCCTTTGTTCTCCTGTCCTTTGGGACTATTAAGAAACCTAAGAAAAATCACATTTGGGGTGAAGCTCTAGTTTCAAGTTACTTTCTCTGTGAGCATCTAGATTTCCAAGGAACCCAAACTATTGACAATTGAACTATTGAATTTCCTAGTTATCCAGCACTTCATCAGAATTCTTAAATGGTAATCCAGATTCAGAGCACAACTGTGTCCCTCTATGGCACATTAATACCATGTGACTGTCCTCTCCACCTTCTAGTTGTTTTTTGTTAGTGCTGCCTTAACTTCTCCTTATAGTTTTAGTATAGAAATCAATGGCATTTTGATGATTGGTCAGTTATCTTTCAGGTTTATATAATCAACTTCATGTGGTGCTTGTTTTAAAAAACTTCCCCCAAAAAACCTCTTTTTTTGTTGTGGGAAATTGATATGGCCATTGCTTAGCTGATGATAGCTCCTTTATTGAGCTGTTGGATACATGTGAGCTCAGGCTTATTCCATAAGCCACTTTTCTGGTAGTGATGTGCAAAATACTGCGCACAGGCTGGCTCCGACCCAGTAAACATTTGTATCTGGCTGCTACCGCCCAGTGGGACCCTTGGGCAGTTCCCTGCCTGTAGTGGCCCCACATGCTACTCAGTGGCCATCAGCTGGGACCAGCATGTCTGTTTGCTTGGTTCAGCACCATCCTCACAGCCTCTTATTGGCTGTAAATGGTCAATGGGAGCTGCAAAGGCATTGCTTGTGAGTGCATGCAGCTGCTTGAGACCCACTGTCCTCCATTCCCTCGAAGGGTCACACGCACAAAGATGTGCATGCTGGCCACAGCATCTGGATGCTTTAAGCAGCATGTAGGGCCACAGTGGGAAGGAAGCCTTCCTGAGGATCCCACTGGGCCACAGCTGGGAGTTGCCTACTGTAGGTGCCTCCTGGCCAGAACCTGCACCTGGCAACCTGCCCCCTCCCGCATTCCGTCCACCTGTCTGTCACTACCCTCTCCTGTACCCCAACTCTCTACACCCCTTCCTACTTCAACACTCCCTCCCTGCCCAAGTCAGAACCCTTCCCTGAATCCAAACTTTCCCCCAGAACCCACATCTACTCCTGCACCCCAGTACACTACCCAGAGCTCTCTCCTGTACCTAGACTCCATCCTAGACCCCACAATCCTTCTATTAACATTGTAGAAAAGCAAGGCCTGGACCACTTAACAATTCATGGAGTGGACCCTCCATAGAAAATTATTGCCCATTCCTGGCTTAGAGCATACAATCTTCAGGCTCTAGTGATTGCTACTTTACTCCAGATTCATCAAATGCTACAAGTGTGCTCTCCTGAAGTTGTCAAATTTCCACTTCAAGAATCCTGGTAATGCTTCCCTCAGGCCTGTCTTTCCATTGCAGTGATGCCCTTCTCCACACATTACCAAAGGCAAAAAAAATCTCCATGACTATCTGGAGCTGACTAAAGCCATAAGGCTAGTTGGACTTTTATTCAACACTAACAGAGTGCTACTTACCTTATGACTTTGTCGTGATGCCTGTTGTATTGTTGGAGCACCTCCCACGTTAGATTTGTATAGCACAACTCCATGAAGCCTAAGAAAACTTTCTGCTCTTCTTTGTCTGGTTGAGAGTCTGTTGTCTTGAATACGGCCATACTTATTTGGTTGTGTGTTGCATCTTTCATCAGTCGATTCCGTACACCCTTTAAGTTTAAAGCAGTAAACTTCTGATCTGTTTCGTCTCTGGAGATTTGCAGAGTAGTCACACACAATTCTATGATCAGCCTTACCAGTCTTTAAATGATGGCCTGTGGACCGGAGTAAGTATTTAGCTAATCAGCAAGGGCCCACATGTGGTGCTCACGTATTTCTTTGCTTTTTCAAATTTGCATTAAAAATGTCAGTGATCTCAGAACTTCTTAAAATAGTCATGACTGGAGACTATATAAGTGATGGAGAGAATCTTGTTTCTGTCTTGGTGAGTGTAGCATTAAAAGCATTAATGACAATACTGCATCAGTAAACTAGAATGATAGTGAAGGAAATCGATGCTAAGTACTCTTTTGTGAGTGCAGCGGAAATGGCCTGTGAAGTTAGACGTGACTGTTAGGGAAGAAAAGAGAAACAAGTTGTATCCTCTGAGGACTTTTTTCTCAAAAGTGCTCAGTACCCAACAGCTGTCACTGTAAATAGTGGCTGCTCCTGGGTTCTAGGCACCTGTGAAAACGTGGCCCTACCTCTGTTAACTTTCTCAGTGCTTGCTCTATTTCAACCATTTAGTTCATTGGCTGTATGTTAATATAATGAAGGCGAGTATTCAGCAGTCTAATGGATGTTGCTTTCATAAGTTTGGTTCTGATTCAGTGATTCATTTGGTATTTTGTCTTTGCAAAAATGATCAAAGAATGAAAAGTGTGCATCTGCTGTGAGAAGCATTAGGACGTCTTTAGTCTTCCAGCCATTGCATTAGGCTGTGAACTAAATTGAGCACTGGCTTTAGGGTAAACCAAAGTTCTTTGAAATCTTGATTGCTGTTCCTATAAAACCCTTCATTAATGCTTAGAAAGATTTTCCTGTGGTATTTTATGGTGAGTGGTTACACACATTGGAATGTGTTTAACCAAAGAATGGATTATTGATGGTCACTTTCACAACAATTGCAAAGTTGTTGAACTGGTGAGTATTTCTATGCTACGTTGAGTGCTTTTTAACGAATGCATTCATATCATGTGAGCCAGTTATTGGTCAATTATATTTTATTTGTAATGTATGTGAATGAAATGTCATGCATTAAATGTATTTTGAGCACAGTGTACCGTGCATGTGAAAACCATTGATAGGCGAAGCAGAAAAGAAACTGTACTCTGTTCCAGTAAAGGATTTTACAATTATTTAAAGAAATTCCTTTGAAGCAGGAAATGTAAAATTTGCTTAGATATGTGAAGCCAAGCCCTGGAAATGCATCACTTCTGTTGAAGCTTTGTCAGACTTTCTGATGTTCCACATGTTGCATCATTTTCTGCTAAGAGAATAGAACCAGTTATTGCCATTTAAGTGATGTGATGATACAGTGCTAGCTTTCTTCGGCTCAGACAAAGCTTTCCTCTCAGTATATAGGACTCTTGCTGGGAGTTTGAATGTTGCTGTTTTGCTTTTCTAATTATGACCTTTGATCTTGTTGTTCATTTTTTTTGTTTTGTTTGCAGGTTTTCCAGCTTGCTGCACATCTGGTTTACTGGGGAAAAGCAATTATTGTCTATCCACTATGTGAAAACAATGTCTATATGCTGTCACCCAATGCTAGTGTTTGTCTGTAAGTAGAATCATAGAACACTAGAACTGGAAGGGACCTCGAGAGGTCATCGAGTCCAGTCCCCTGCCCTCATGGCAGGACCCAGGACTGTCTATACCAGGGGTGGCCAACCCATCCTGGGCAGAGCGCCAAGATAGCAATGGATCTAGTGCAAAGAGCCAGGGAAAAGTTGTTAAGCCATTAAGCCAACCCCCCCTCCTTCCCCCCCAAAAATGACTGCCCCTTTAAAAGAAGCCCTAGGTCCGGGGCGGGGGAGGGAGAGCTCTGCCCCTTTAAGAAAAGTAATTTAAACTCATTTTGAGGCTTTTTGGCCACAGCAGGCTCCTGCTGCCATCTTTATTTCTGCAGCTTTCATGGCCGTGCCAGGCAGCTCCCCTTCCCAGATCAGTACAGGGAGCCAGGAGGAGAGGGACGTTTTTGGAGGCGCGGCTTTGAGCCACGGGAGGCGTGTCTTTGTGATCTGCACCCGGAGGAACGGGGCGGGTGGGAGCCGCATGCGGCTCGCGAGCCCCGGGTTGGCCACGGCTGGTCTAGAGTCTAGACCATCCCTGATAGATGTCTATCTAACCTGCTCTTAAATATCTCCAGTGACGGGGATTCCACAACCTCCCTAGGCAACTTATTCCAGTGTTTCACCACCCTGACTGTTAGGAAGTTTTTCCTAATGTCCAAACTTAATCTCTCTTGCTGCAGTTTAAGCCCATTGCTTCTTGTCCTATCCTCCGAGGCCAAACAGAATGCCGTTTGAGACAGAATTACTTTAGAGTGCAGCAGGGATCCTTTAGAGCATATCTATACGTCTCAGCTAATGGAGTAATTTAATGTCCAACATGCCACTGTGCTTTAGCATTCACACTCCTGGAAGTGTGCATTACTCCACCATGTAGACAAACCTTTAGATGTTGTTTTGCCCTTACAGAAGAGCTAGGGATAAGGAGAAAAAGAAATTGCATCTGTTTTAATGTTTTTTTAATTTTGTAATAATGGGTTATGGGAAAATAGAGCCAATTAATAAGAGTCTGATTGAAAAAAATAATGAACTTATTCATCGTAGTATCAGCTTTTGCCAAAGCAATTTTTTATTTTAACCAGGATATTAGATGTCCTTAACTACAATGGAATTCTTTATTATTTACTTAGTACAAAAAGAACATTTTTATTGTGAACTTGCACATCTTATCCAGTGATTGAATACTAGTAAGTCTATGTAAATTCTAGTTAGACATCAGTGCAAGACTAATTTCTTCTTGTTTCTCTTTTCCATAGCTACTCTCCTTTGGCAGACGATTTTTCCTGTCAGTTTCCTGGCCATGATTTGCCATCTGTGCTTTCAAAGTTCTCATTGCCAGTTTCCTTATCAGAGTTCAAGAATCCACTAGCTCCGCCAGTGCAGGAGGTAAGTTACAGGGCAGCATATGAAAGCTTGTGATTGACCTGTTTAATGTGAGCATGAGGATAAGAATGTCCAACTATGAGCTTTCAGAGCTTTTGTAGGTTCAAAAATCTTTGTTACTGGGCTTCCTAGTCACCCATTCGAATTATTTTGTATGCACATGATAAAAGTCCTTAGACAGAAGTGGTCTGTATTGAAAAATGTGTTGCTAAATAAAATCTCTGAGTATACTCCTTTGCATATCATACAATGCCTTGAGTCGGATAGCAGGGGAAAATTGAAAATCACACTTGGATATAAAAAAAGTCTTCTAGTTCAAACAGATGTAATGTAGGGGAACACCTGTGACCTGTTATACAGAAAGATAGACTAGTCGGGGGTTCTCAAACTTCATTGCACCACAACCTCCTTCTGATAACAAAAATTAATGCTTGTCCCCAGGAAGGGGCACCAAAGTCTAAGCATGCTCAAGCTCCTCTGACTTGGCTGGGGCAGGAGGAGGCTAAAGCAAGGCCTCAACAAGTCTAATGCCAGCCCTGGTGACCCCATTAAAACAGGGTCATTCACAACTCACTTCAGGGTCCTGACCCACTGTTTAAGAACCATTGGGCCTCTAGCTGATCATACTGATTCCTTCTGGCTTTGGAGACTATGAAAATTTCTGTTTGCTCTATAGAAAACTGTCTTGATATTCATGAATTTGTCATCTAACACATATACATAGAATGTACCTCTCAAACAAAAAGGCAGAGCTATTTTTATGTATTCCAGCTGCTTTAGACTTGCAATTTGAATTGAAAAGCAAACTGTCCTGTGTATTTATTTACGGGTCTTTGAATGATGCTAAAAGAGTTTAAAGGCTAATCCAAGAAACTTCAGCATGTATTCAACATAAGTGCTCTTGTAACAGTATCTGGGTCTTCAGATTTGTGTCTTACTGTGTGTACAATAGTTAAATACCACAGTTAGCAGTTCTGCAGTTTCATATTTGAGTTCCTTCAGAACACTTGGCTCAGGACCATCTCACCCTGGTGACTTATTACTGGTTAATGTATCAATTTTTTCCAGAACTGCCTCTGCTAATACCAGTTGGACTTCCCTGGTCTGACATCCTTGGGACCTAACCTCTCACGAATGAGGCAATTTGATAACAGAGGACCTCCCTGTATCCGGCAATCTCCCAGCCTGCTGTTCCTTCCTGTGGCTGGCTCCACTCCAGCCCCACAGCTCCTGGAATGTAGCCTGCTGCTGCTGGGCTTGGGGACGGAGCTCCCCAGCCACCATGACCCTGCTTCTGCCCCACCTGGCTGGTGTTCCCAGAGATTGGTGCTTGCCAGTTGCTGGGCCTCCCGGGGATGGTGGTCGCCAGCTGACGGCAGCCTCGCTGATGCCCCGTGTGGCTGGGGCTCCCCAGGAATGGAGTCCCTGGCCACTACTGAGCCTGCTGGTGGGCTCCCCCCATCATTGGGCTCCCAACTGGCGCTCACTCCTAGTGCCAGAGCTCTCTGGTCCGGATTTAGGAGGTTTAACCTGTACCTCAATCTAGGATTTTAATTTTACATGCCAGTAATCTGGTTCTGTTTTGGTTTCGGTTAAACTTACCCTTTCTGTATAAACTCCTTCTTTCCCAAAATGTTCCCCAGTTCCTAATAAACTTAAATCCCTCCTCCCTCCACCACCATTTCATCCGTGTATTCACACACAGTATTTATGTTCCAATCATATGAAAACTGGCTCTTGCTGCAATCAGTACTTAAATGTGCTTCTCAGTGGGGGCTATTGCTCTCTAATATCTTTACTCCCTATATCTGGCTGTTTCCAAACTGAAGGAAGTGTAGTGTGGGGTCCCCAAACTTCACAGCAGTGCTTGGATAGGGGCTTATCTCTGGGGTGCTGGAAGGGGCGCGGGGCCTTGGAAAGAAGGGGCAGTGTTAGGGACTAGCCTCCCCTAGACAGCCTTAAGTGCTGTTTAGATCATGTGGGGTCCTGGCTGTTATTGCTGGCAACCTGGAACCCCCAGCCCTTTTAAACTGCTGGGTCCTGGGGCACTCATCCGCTTTGTCCCCCCATCAGTGGCTCTGCTTCAGTGTCTGAACCAGCTGTTTCAGAGTGAGGTGTACCCCCTCCAAAAATAGAAACCCCTAGAATAACAAATCTTTGGGTGAGACTCCTCCCCATTTCCAGGCAGGCGGGAGTGTATTTTCACCAACTGCCTGCGTAAAAGCCTTCCGTATGAAACATGTTGTCATTGGCCGCCTCCACTGTATATGTATTTTTAATAAATCACATTTCCATTCTTCTTAGTTACTTGGTTTTTCTAAGAGACTAGCTTGGCTGTGAAGGAGCTGAGTGTAACTGGGGGTGGTTAGTTGTTTCTCACTGAACAAAAGATGCTTTTAATTTTTATTGTGTTTTTTAAATAAAGTGGTTGCTAGGTGAAGCCTCCATTTTGCAGATGAACTGAATTAATTATATATTGTACAATGCTGCAGTGGAAAATGTGCATGTGAGGGAATAGGAATTGGAGGGGGCTGGATGTGTTTGAGAGCAAAGCACAAATAGGCTTCAGTCAGATCTACAATGCATCTGGAAGCCATTATGTGATGAATCAAGGGCAGCTTTTGTTGAGAGGGAGTGGAAGTTCCATTTAGATGTGGATGTAGTCAGTTGTAGCAGATACAAAATGCATGTTTGATGTGTGCTGGATTTAAAAATAGTGCTTGCAAGACTTTAAAAAGAAAATTGGATGAGTGCTGTTCAGTCAACTGGAAGTAAAGGTCCAAAATGTAGCCTGTCACCTGATAATTGGAATATTGATCCATTCTAGAGTAAAGCATTGATTTGACTTACTTCAGATCTCTGTAAATCATTGTATCTGATGGGTTAAAATACGGAAGTGTAATGATTTACAGAGATCTGAAGTATCTGATGGGTTAAAATACGGAAGTGTTTTAATGGTAGTTTTATTTTTTGACCTAGTATAGTGACTCTCATAATTGGACAACAACCATTTATATTTGCCAGTATAAATGCAGTACTCCCTCACTCTAATGAACCTGTTGGGATCCAAGCCTTTTGTTCACTATAGCCAGGGATTATATTGAAAGGACAATGAAACTCAAGAGAGCTGCCAACCCCATGTGGTGGAGCACAGGAGCTGGATAAAAATTGTGCATGCATGTGCAACATTCCTTTTTTTAAATGTTCTAGTACTGTACTGTAATTGAGATACAAGAACTGGGTTTATAGTAGCCAAAGGTTTAATGAAGGGAGTTTATAGCAAGGGTGTACTATGTGCTATCCTCTTTCCTTCACTTTTGAACCTGAAGTTTCCCAGTAGCTATTCTATTTTTTTTCAAATGTAATCCTCAAGAGCGTTTGTCAGGTTAAATTTTAGGCTAATCCCAGACTGGAGTAAGGAGAGAAAATGAGCTCCAGTAGCTATAGTTTAATTGAAACCGGAAAACTCATGGCTAAACCAGGATTGGATATACTTTTCCCCAGCCCCTAACTATTCTCAGCTCTGGGGATCTGATCTCAGGGAACAGGGTTTTAAATATCAGTGTGGTAAAGAATAAATTTTACAAATGTTCTCTGTTTTCAGGAAGGCAAATAACATTGAAGGAGTTGGTCTTGCCCTTGTGGAGTTCAGTGGGCAGCATTCTGTATTGCGTCTCCAGATGGGGTGATGCATAAAGTCTTTGTTTTTCAGAACCAAAATGTCTTTTGTGTTTGTTGACAAGTGAGAACACGGTGTCTTGTATTGTCAGCTTCTTTCATACACAGTGTCACATAGCACTACACTACACGAGTGGATCTGGAATTACAGTAGCAATGGGACATGGCATCGTAGGGATGGTGAGAGGGAATGGGATGTTGAAATGTATTAGTGGAAACAATGTAAATGTTGCAGCTCTCATAACAGACTGGAAAAAGGCAGAATGGGTGTGGAAATGAAGGGGCACAGTGGGATTGGGGGGGGAGGGAGGAGAAGAGTGAAATGAAGGGGCCGTGAAAATGGACTTAACATTTAGATTTAATTCTAGGTTAAACAAGCAAAATGTTTCCTTCACATATTTGCTGTGGGCACCAGTTTTTTAGCCAAAGAAGGTTGGACATGAGTGGTCATACTGGGTCAGACCAGAGGCCCATCTAGCCCAGTATCTTGTCTTCTGACAGTGGCCAATACCAGGAGCCCCAGGAGAAATGAGCAGAAGTGATCACCAAGTGATCCATCCCATATTGCCTGTTCCCAGGTTTTGGCAAACAGAGGTTAGGGACGCTATCCCTGTCCATCCTGGCTAATAGCCGTTGATGGAACTGTTCTCCATGAACTTATTTAGGGGGCATGGGTTTTTTTTGAACTATGTTATATTCTTGGCCTTCACGTCTTCTGGCAAGGAGTGTCACATAGTCAACAGCTGGTGCTGTAGAGAGCTAATGTTTATGAGCAGTCCCCCATTGCTAAGCATGCCATTGCCTCTCAGCTGTCCAAGCCCTTTCTGGCATCAGGAAAGAGGCCATCTAATTAGGAAGATTTTGAGACCAGATGCGAAGAGGAAGAAACTCCCATGGTAGAACAAAGCAATGAGTTTCTAGATCAGGAAAAATAGTAGGGAGGAATGCACCTCTGAGACCACTCTTTCTGGAGTGTCCATTTCCTCTTGAAAGCAAGATGATGTTCATGTGATGGAGACTGAAGCAGGAAGTTCACAGTGGCCATGTTCAAATGAACCGTCTGCCCAGTACCAGAATCCCAACCAGTCCTAATTTCTGAAACTGCTTCTGTGGTAATCTTCTCCCTGGCACTGGTATCCGCTGCAGATGTGATGCAGCTGCAAAGAATGCTGTCCTGGGAGAGAGAGAGATGGCCAAAGAAGGGAAAAGGTAGGGGACTTGGAATCCACCCAATGGGGCAGCTGGAAAAAAAATACTGTTAGAGGAGAAAGATTGAGATGCTGAGGTAGAGGCTAAATTGGAGGCTGGGTAGGAAGTGAAGTGAT